TACTGTTGCACCTTCACTGTCCTCAAAGGCGAGATTGCCCAAGTCAAAATCCCAAAAATGTTAGACCATGATTTTGAGGTACTCGAAGGAGGAAGACGGAGATCGCGAGAGAAAGTACGAGCTCGAGTTGTCAGAGCTCTTGACAGGGCTCTCGATACAGGTCGATGTACGTGGAGTTGTCGAGGGCCAAGCTAGGGTTTCGAAGATCGCAATACAGTGAGGGCATGAAAAAGGGATTGGCGTCAATTGGGGTTATTGCGATAGTGGTGGCGGAGGTGGCAGCGAAGACGATCAGCAAAGAGGATAGCGACGACGAGAGAAGGTTGGCTTCGTCGGAGCCCCAGTTCTCAAAGCCCATAAGAGAAGAAGAAAAGGGTTGGAGGAGGAAGTAATTAGTTTAGGATTTTAGGGGCATTTAAGGGTTTTTGGAGAGTTGCAGAAGTGGGAAAACTTGACTGGAATTTGGCAGAGGTGGCTAGGTGGAGAAGACGATCGAGTAGGGAGGATGAGGACAAGGGAGAGTCACGGTAGGGTTCTGGTTTTGGTGGTGAAGGAAGGTTAAGGGTAGAGGATACGGGTGGATGGGGAAGAAAGGGGGGTCGGTTTGTAGGTTTGGGTCCCCCATTTAAAAAAAAATATTAAATGATTTTATTTTTTAGTTTTTAATATTTAATTAATTTTTTTAATAGGAAGTGGGCCGCGCCTCAAGCCACGTCAGCATTTAACGGTCAATTTGACAGAAAAGTTAACGGATGTCTGACATTGCAATAAATTTATACGTTGAGGTATGACATTGAAATGTTTTAAATATGAGGTATGAAACTGTAATTGGCTCAATAGTTGAGGTAGTTTTTTGTAATTTACCCCATGTTTTATTACCTTAAAAAAAGGCCAACTGAAAATATAGAAAAAAATGTCAAAATATTGGATTGAGCAAAATAAAAAGAAAAAGAAAAAGATTAGTTCGTGGATGTTCTTACCGAAAAGAAAACGAAAAACTTTAGGCATTTAAATGGCTATGAAGTTTATTTGTCTGCTACCAGACTTTGAAATGATTTAGAGCAGAACGACTTAAGAATATATGGAGAGAAGGAGAGGGGAGATAGAGAGAGTTGAATACCAGAAAAAAAAAAAAAGAGTTGATTGATTTTGAAATCAAATTGGAATAGGCTTATTAGTTTATTTGCCTCCTAAAACTATCACTTACTCTGACTTGATCTTTTGAAACTGGTTTCGTCTCACTTTACCCCATGAAACTGTCATTTTTGTCTCATTTAGTTTCAATTCATCCCATTTTCTTCCATTCCGTCAAATATATGTTAAATTAAAGGATACTATGGACATTTTGTTTTTTATACAACTTTTTGCCTCCAACTTGCATACTAAAGTAACCCCAATTTCCTAATTGATTTCTCTTCCCTGTGAGAGCTATTCCCTCCGTCTAGGGGGTTTCTCTCTCCTCTGTGAGAGTTATTCCCTCCGACCCTTCAACTTCTCCATCCGATTGTCATTTTGAGAGTTGGCGGCTTGGAATTTTTCATTTTACTTTCTGCCTCCTTTTCATAACATAGTCCCCATCTTGCAGCCCCTTTCCCTCAACCCCACCCCTTCCATTTCTCCATCACCAACCTACACATCAGTTAATTTCAACCATTTTCTTTTGCACCATTTTCCTTCTTTCTTACCCAAAAATTAGATCTTAAAGTTTTGGACCTAATTTGGAATTTCGATTGTTGTACTTTAAGATTAGATTTTTGCTTAGGGTCTGCTTGCCATTTTTGGGTTGATTTTGCTGTGCCTTGGTCTTTGCATATCCACTATGGTTTTGGTTGCTCCACGGTAGCTATTCCGATGGGTGATGGCCGAAGACATACAGCGTTGGGCTGGTTCTACTTAATGAGGACTAAGGTTTTTTCGAATGTTTTTACTTTTGGGCTTACTTCTTTTTATGTCTTCTTGTTTTCATTTGATGCTGGTGCCCCTTTTAGCCCTTCTCACATTTATGGATTTCACGTTTACAGTGATGGGTCGAATCGTTCGAAAGTCATGTTTGACTCATCCTTTGATCGCTTGAAGATGCGCCTATTGCTAGTTCCGGTTGGATGCTACAATTCCATCTTCTACAGATCACTTGTTGAGGCTCTAGTCTCCTCTTTGGTTCATCGGCTTCTGGCGGCAGCAGTTGTAGGAAGATTGAAGAAGTTGCTAGGGTTTCTTGTCTTTTTCTTTTTTCTGGGCTCCAATTTCTTTGGTTTTGTTTTTTACCTCATTTTCTGTAAACTTACTTGTTGGTAATGAAATGACCCTTGAACAAACAAACAAAAAAAAAGTAATCCCAATTTCATCGAAAACTCTAATTCAAACCCTCTCTATCTCTCTTACAGATTAGTGTAGAGTAGTTGCAGCCGTTGGTAAAAGCAAATAATTGTTTGGGTTTCAAAAGCAAATAATGGTTTGGGTTTCAAATGCAAATAATAGGTTGTGTTTTAAAATCTAATTCAAGCCACTCATTGAATCCAAGCAGCTATGTATCAATCTTCAAGAGAGATAGAAGGGAGTTTGAATTAGAGTCAGCGAAAATGGAAATTGAGATTGTTTTAGCAAACAAATTGGAGGCAAAAAATTGTGTCAAATAAAAGGTCCATACTATCATTTAATTTAATGTTTATTTGACAGGATGAATGAAAATGGGGTGAACTGAGGCTAAATAAGACAAAAAGGCAGTTTCATAGGACAAAGTGAGACAAACAATTTCATGGCATAAAGTGAGACTAAAGGACTGTTTTATGGTGCAAATCAAGACTACTAAAACTTCGCACCCTATGTTAGAGCACTTCCACCAGGGGTGGGATAGGTCGACACACAGCCATAAAAATGGCTCGGCACCTAGTTAAGTTTCTCCAGCCCGGCAGATTGCCTGGCACCCAGCCCAAGTTGGTCTCCAGGCCAGCCCAAAATTGATAGACCTTGGGACTGGCCCATCTGGCGCTAGGTTGACGTCATGATTTGAAATCATTTTTTTACGCCAGGTCCCAGCAGAGAATGAGATGTTGGGCTCGACTGCGACAACGAAGATAACGGCAAGGGTGGAGCAGAACTGAAGGAATGAGCTACTAGAATCTCACCTATGGTGTTATCGTTGTCGTCATCCCTGTCCTCGATCCTAAACCAGCCGTACTGAGCTCTGCATCTCAAGCTCTAGAAGCCATGCCACTTCACTCTGAAGTTCCTCAATTGGGGACCGAAGAAGTCCAGTTTCCAATGCTACAACCACCGCCAGAAGCTGCCGCCTCAGCCTCTGCATCTCAAGTTGTTCTTGTCGGTTCTGAAGCCCAGCCTCAGTGAGTCCACAGTTCATGCCCACACACAGTGTGTTTCAATGTTTTTGTTAATTTTTTAGGAATTTATGCAATGATTCGAATTGGGTTGTCTTAGAAAGGCTTAAAGTAATGATCTTTGCTGTACAATCTGCAAAGAGGATGGTGGCGGTGATGATGATAAAGGTGGTGGTGGGTTGGCGTGCTTTGATGTACAATCTGTCAAATTATTAATTTTTATTATTTTATAATATAAATAATAATATTTTAATAAAATTGACTAGGCTATTTAGTTTTAGGGGTGGAGATGCATTTGGCCTATTACTGTTTATTGGGATCTATCACTGTTCACTGAGTGGATAAATGCGCTAGGTGCTGGTGCATTTATATTAGGGGTGGAAATGCTCTTAAATACTAACTAATGATTATTAAAATAAATAAGTAACAAACTTACATGGACTTAAATAAATGTTAAATAATATGACACGTACAAAAGTAAAAGGACCTCAATCAAAGTTCTACAACTCATAAAACCATCTCCAAAAGATATGTCAAATCATAAATGGAATATCACGTAATTAAAAGAAGTTTCAACCGATATATCCATCATACGTGGATTAATTATTTAATTATTTTATAGTGGTGGGTCTCAATAATGTACCAATTATCAATTATGTAAATCTTGGGTTCTGGGTGTTGGGATTTGTTGTTTTTGTTGTTGGTATCAAATTTTGCGCTTTTGGGTTGTGGAAGAAATTGACACCTTGCCCCAAGACATGGAGGTAATGGGCATGCTCAGGCGGTCGTTTTCATCTCACCGATTTGATGACCATGACGTTAGCCTGACGTCATGTAGGCTGGTCTCTAGCTCAGAACATTTTGCCCCGGTCTGTGGATTGGCTTGGGCTAGGTGCCAGCCAATGTGCTGGGCTGGAGTGGATTGACTGAACCCCAGCCTGGTTTTTTGACTGGGTGCTGGCACATTAGGCCTCTGGTGGACTTGCTCTTATTGCTAGTCCAATGTAAAGCTTAACTTAAACTTTTTGCTTCTTTAGTGTAGATAATATCATTTATTAAAAAAAACAAACAAACGAATTGAAAAATGAGAAAATTTGACATTGGCACATTAGCCCATCACATCAACATTTGACATTTATTAGCCAAACAACGTTGAAGGTTAAGAATGATAAGTTACCCTTTTTGTATTCAATTGTGATTTTAAAGATTTTAATGAATTTATAAATCCATGATATTTTTTATATAAAGGAAATTGTAGCAATGGTCCCTCAACTATAATCTAATTGGAGTAATGGTCATTTAACTTAAAATCTATACCCATTGGCCTCTTAACTCATCAAAACGTGCATTGTGGTCCTTTTTTCGTCAACTCAAGTTAAACTTCCATCTGAATAAAGAGGCAAATATAGAAACCTAAATGAGAAAAATTGTAGCAATTGTCCTTTAACTTTAACTCAATTGAAGAAATGATTCATCAACTTTAACTCAATTTGAGCAATGATCTCTCAACTTTAACCCAATTAGAGTAATGGTCCCTCAACTTTAACACAATTACAAATTCATGGCTTATGTGTAGAAAACAGGAATCCAATTTATATAGAAAACAGAGTGTTTAAAAACACAAGTGGACCGGGGGACACCAAAGCAATCCATCAATCTGCCGGCCAAACTCACGTTTTATTCTCCCACGTTTACGCCCAAAGGTTATAAATCGGAACTTACAATAGACCCATGGTCAAACGACAAACACTCAAACTACAAGACCCATTTTTGTAATTTGGCTTCACATAAAACCCCGAGCGTAAACCCATCAACAACATACCCCCGACATGCGCCACCTCCTAAAACCCCTCCGCCACCATTTCCGCCGTCTGCGGTGGGCCCACCACAAGGCCCAGAAGCCGGCACCGACCCCCTCAGCGCAACCGAGACCGCCACGGCCGCCGCAGAAGCCCGAGAGCTTCACCTTCCACGACCACACGTGGGAGGACCCGTACAACTGGATGTCGAAGCTCAACGACAAGGTGGCGATGCGGCACCTGGATATGTACATGGAGCAAGAGGAGAAGTACACGGAGGCCGTCATGTCCTGCACCGACCGCCTCCAGAGCAAGCTCCAGTCCGAGATGGCCTCTCGCATCGCCTCCGACCTCGCCACCCCTCCCCTTCGCTGGGGCCCCTGGTATGAACAGTAATTATCAAATCAATTTCGTCCATTTTCTGGGTTTCCGGCTTGAGAATCAGACGTTTGCAGGTTGTACTACCGGCGCGTGGAGGAGGGGAAACAATTTCCAGTGCTCTGCCGGAGACTAGCGAGTTTAAACGACGAGTTCATTTCACACAAATCGCCGTCTTCCGGATTCGATTTCACTTCGGGAAAAAGGATCGAGCAGAAGCTCATTGATTACAATCAGGAATCACAAAGATATGGCGGTAAATTGCTAATCTTTTACTAATTTTTGTTAAAAGCTGGGTTTTATTATTATTTTTTTTTGTTTGGAAATTTAGTTTGAGTTGAATTTTGTGTAGGTTATGCTTACGAAGAGTTATCGGAAGTATCGCCGGATCATCGGTTTATAGCTTACACAATGTATGATAAGGAGAGTGACTTGTTTAGATTATCTGTTAGGAATTTGAATTCTGGTGCATTGTGTAGTAAGCCGAAAGCAGAGCGTGTTTCGAATTTGGCTTGGGCCAAAGACGGGCAGGCATTGCTTTATGTTGTCACTGATGAAAACAAGCGGCCTTATAGGTCAGTAATTTGCGAATTTCTACTATTTACGTGTGCTATTTTGTTGTACCGGAGTGAAAATGCTGGTAATTCTAGCCTTTTTTATCAATCAGGATATATTGTAGCACGATTGGATCAACCGATGATGATGTTTTGATTCTGGAAGAACCAGATGAAAATGTTTATGTTAACATCCGACATACTAAAAATTTCCAGTTTGTGACAGTGCATACTTTTTCCACGACGTCTTCCAAGGTATTGTTTTGAAGATGACTTTATATTGGTAATAGGCTAAAGCATCAATTTTAGTTCAAGTGATATAGTAATTAGTAATTGTGACCTCTTTTTAGGTGTTTTTGATAAATGCAGCTGATCCATTGTCCGGGATGAACTTGGTTTGGGAGTGTGAAGGTATAGCCCATGGCATACTTGAGCATCATCAAGGATATCTTTATCTGTTTACTGATGCTTCAAAAGAGGGCCAGTCAACCGATTACCATTTTCTTCTTCGTAGTCCTCTAGATTCTTCTTCAAGTCCAAGAATATGGGAGGTCTGTGGTTTAACTTTACATTATGTTTTTTTTTTTAAATCAATCTTTCGTTTTTCTATTTCAAAGCTTTCTGCTTTTGAATGTTTGTGATTATTTCCTTGTGATAAGCCCTATATCAGTTCTCTTTGTTATTAACATGACATTTTGATTAGTAGCTTTTTTTCCAGCATCGAGTATGAGCATTTCAGTTCGATTATCTGTTTTATCTGAGTGATATTTCTTGTTTAATGTGGATAGTTAAACCCAGGCAATAATTTACTTTCTTATTTACCGCAGAACGTATTCGCCAATGACAAGGACTGGATTTTTGAGGATTTTGATTTCAGTCATACACACTTAGTAGTTATTTTAAAGGAAGGGCGAAACTTTAAACTTTGTTCAGTCACTTTACCTTTGCCTGCTGGTAAGGTAGGTCAACTGCATCATGCATTGTTAACAATAATTTCAATGTGAAAGAATTTGAAATATGCTCTTGACTATTGTTATTCTCATTTTTTTTTACCTCATGCTGTATCAGGGGGCAGTGCATCTAAAAGAGCTTCACCCACAATTCCTGCCCCTTCCAAAATATGTTTCGCAAATATCACCTGGACCAAATTATGATTACCATTCATCAGTGATGCGCTTCACAATATCATCACCTGTGGTACGTGAGTTACAATGATCACTTCTAAAGACTGGCAGGATTCTTCCATAGATTTATGCTTTCATAATGTGTTTCCATCGTAGAAACAAAGTTGTTAAAATGTCACGACTGTAATATGAGCTCCCTTTTTTTAATGGGTTCTGTAAATTAATCCTTATGCCAAACAACTAATCTCAAAATTTTGATTGTCTACCCGGTTTGGTTTAGAATTTGCAATGTATTTGAAGTTCAAGGTTTTCACAATAGACATCATTCTGTTTTATGGTTACTGAATTTGTACGACTCTGGTTAGCACCAAAAGGAGAGTATGAGGTTTCATTACCATTGTGCACATGTGTTTGGAATCATCTATCCATTTGTGTTCCATGTCCAAAGTCCAAATTATGAACCCAATCTTCTTAACTTTCGCAGATGCCGGATGCTGTGGTTGATTATGACCTGTCAAATGGAAAGTGGAATATCATTCAACAGCAGAATATTCTTCATGAAAGAACACGGGTTTTGTATGGAACAACTTCCATAGAAAGCATCAACGAGGAGACCATAAATTCAAAACCTTTGAATTTTATAACTGATGCCAACTCTGATGATGCTCAGTTGTGGAATGATCTTTCTGAGTTTTATGCTTGTGAACAATATAATGTATCTTCTTATGATGGAGTTTTGGTTCCATTGACTGTTGTATACTCCCGTAAAAACAAGAAAGAGGATCAGAACCCTGGATTGCTTCATGTCCATGGAGCTTATGGTGAGCTTCTGGACAAGCGGTGGCGGAGTGAGTTGAAAAGCCTTCTTGATCGTGGTTGGACCATTGCGTATGCTGACATTAGGTCTGGTTTGTGTTGAATACCATTTCTAAGTTATTCCAGGCTTAGTTTCAGTCATACCGAATAAACTTGGTAGATTTTTAACTAAAATTTTTCTGTGGAGGTAGGGGTGTAGTTTGCATCTGATGCACTGCAAAAGTCACATTAGTTTTCCTTCCTAATAGCCTTGTGATTGCCTACTAACCATGTTTGGATAATATTTCCAGAGGCGGAGGAGGTGGAGGAAAGAAGTGGCACCATGATGGAAGGTGTACAAAGAAGATGAATTCCATCAAAGATTACATCTCCTGTGCCAAATTCCTTGTTGACAAAGAAATTGTCCATGAAAACAAGCTTGCTGGTTGGGGTCATAGTGCTGGAGGACTCGTGGTTGCTTCAGCCATCAATCAATCCCCATATTTATTTAAGGCTGCAATTTTGAAGGTAAACATGGATCGTCTTCCACTTTTAATTTTAATTGTCTTTTAGGTTACCCATTAGTTCTTTTTGTACGGTTTTAGTGTGGTTTGCTTTGGTTAAATAAACTTAGTTGTTTCTAATTCGGGGTCTAGTTTTGTTTTGCTTCTCAGCACGAAGAGATTGTCATGATATTCTGTTGACAATTGTAATTTGGTAATTGAAAGATCATTGGTAATTGAAATTTGAAGGAAACTAATACATTGGGAACTGACATTTTGCAAGCATATGTCTGTAAGGAGGCATTTCATTCTTTATTTTTTTAGTAAATAAATACATAGTCACGCTGAATTTCTTCGTATAATCGTTATAAATTAATTCATTTCCTCTGTGCTTCAGGTTCCATTTTTAGACGCAACAAACACTCTTCTCTCTCCCATTTTACCACTTACAGCTGCCGACTATGAAGAGTTTGGATACCCTGGGGACATTGATGATTTTCATGCTATACGTGACTATTCTCCTTATGACAATATCCAGAAGGATGTTCTTTATCCAGCTGTCATGATCTCCTCATCTTTCAATACACGGTAATTTTTCATCTACCCTCTGTTATTCACTTTTCAACTGTTTAGGATTTTCACAAGTCAGAAAGTGGCATGTTTCAGATTTGGAGTTTGGGAATCTGCAAAATGGATCGCGCGGGTTCGTGAACTTACAATTTATGACCAAAATCGTCCGGTACTGCTTAATTTAACAACAGATATAGTGGAGGAAAACAGGTACCTCCAGTGCAAGGAGTCGGCACTGGAGTCTGCATTTCTTATAAAGGTGATGGAATCATAGATCCTATTTCGCTTTCCCTTTCCCTCTCCCTAGTGAATCTGTTGATCAGCAACCGAGAGTCTAGATGCTGGAAACAAGTGTCCAGAAGAGCATCCCCCGATAAACTATAGTGTGGTTTGTAACACAGTCACGTGATATAACCAATCCACGTGTTATATTCTGTATGGCACAAGTTGCTTTCAACTATTGTGGTCATAGTTGTTATCTCTACATTTATTAATGAAATCGAAGGTAAGATAAAGGTATCGCTGTCCTCTACATATTTTAACCACGGACGCCATCGTCGGTTTCGGTTCAATTAGATTACGGAAAAACACCGAAGACAATCGGATCAAACCAAACCGTCATTAGCCAGCTCGGTTGGCCGGATTTCCAAGTCCCTAGGGTGAAACTTATCACACATGTTCAGAAGAACAATGCTAAAAAGAAAAAGAGTGCAAAACCCATGAATCTTCTTTTGCAACAAGTCAATTATACCATGAATTGTACAAGAGCAGAGTGAGTAATGGGAACAATTCCAATCTAATTCTGCTAGACCAACTCTACAACAACCCTTTCCTTCTAGCAGAAAATAGCAAACAAAGTAAAATAAATCTACAGTAAAAAAATAATAGGGCAAAAGAGGAGATTACAGAGGTTAACAAAGTCATCTACCTGCATCGATGAGCTATTTGTGGAAGAACAAAAGAATGCAACCACACAGAAAAGTCAGGAACTAAAGCCATTCCACCCTTTCGGCATGGAAGTCGTCTGCTCGGATATCCAGACAGCGGTAACCAATAAGTTTCAATGTAAAATAGGTCATTTTCTTTCTCAACTTTGAACAATATCATTGACAGATGTAACAGATTTCGTCTCAGATTCTTCATCGACAGTTGACAGCCCACCGTCTCTGATAAAGGTTGGATTAAGAAAATTTGCTACAAAAGCCCATAACTTGTAAACATCCTCAAAGTTGGTTAGGAATCCCAAAGAAGCTGTAACAACCTCAAGCCGTACGAACTCGCTTTTTCTACCATTTCTGCCATTCTCCATTGGCCGGCAAAGGGTAGTATCTTGAAGATTCAAAACTCCATTTTTCTGTCTTGGACTATCCATGATTCGTATGTGACTGAGGAAACCAATGCCAAGCGCGATTCCTTCTTTTTCAGCCAGTTTCTGTACAACTTCTGGATTGATTAGCCCTCTATTCCGGTCTTTCACATTGAAAGCTACAGCTGCTCCCCTTTCGTATTTTATTTTTGGGCCATAGATGTGAACAAGATTTGTTCTTTTGTCTCCATCTGATCCAGGCAATCTTAGTTGTAGCAAAGAGGTCACAAGCCAATTGACCAAAAATCGAAGCCGGGAGGTGGTTTTATTGAGACCTAACGTATTGACATGATCAAGATGCCGACATATTATCTCAGGTTCCCTCCTGTCCCAGTCTTGCCCATCACCATATTCCCCATCACTAGCGGAATCTTCATCCTCCAGACTAGTCACAGAAATTTCTCCTGTTTCAAGATTATGGCTTACATGGTCTTTTTCAGTGCTAAAGGACACCCTTCTCCCCCGGCTTGGTTGCTCGTTCTCTTCCAATCCAAAAAACCTACCATTTCCAAATTTACTCCCCTCCCTTCTCCCTAACAACCTAAACTCACCTTCAGTTTCTCTTCTTATGGTGCAACCTCTAATCTCTCTGCAACTTTCAACGGTTGATCCATTTTCTAGGTTCTGATGCTGAGAAGTGGAAGATGAATTTTCGTGACAAAATCCATTTGTGCCAGAATTCAACAGTGACCCATTGGACAAGGGTTCAATGGTTCCGCATTCTTCTTGGATCTCTCCATTACACTGATCAGAAGCCCTTTTATCATTTCGTGAAGTGGGACCTGCTTCTGCAAATTGTTCTTCATTGACCTCCTTCACAGAGTCCAGCTCCTGAGAAATTGATAGGACAGCGGCGTCAAATGATAACACATGACAGTCATCGTGTAGCCCTGAGTTTACCTTTTTATCATCAAATATGGGGCTGCCATACAGCCTAGAAGCAGGTTTTGGGGAAACTTGCTTACGATTCTTCTGGCCAGAAAACCAAAATGGAGGCAGAGGCGAGGCAATCTTATGTTTGTTTATCTGACCAGAATGGTCGGAACCCATTGGGCTCTGACCCAAATCAATCCAATACGAATTGTCAGATGAATCGTCTTCACTGAAGATTGGGCTCTTCATAACCTCCCCAGCTGAGACACTCTCAGCTTCTTCAAATAAGGCGCTCGTCCCATCCCTGTCAGAGCTGTTATCATGCTCCATCTCAGTCTCAAATACATCCCTCACCTGAGAAGATGTGTATGCTCCAGAGAAAGCAGGCATCGGCTTTCCCTGCTGAGTTTCAGTAGTTATCTCACCATCATCAGCTAATTCATGATCCTCAGTTCCGGCCAATTTATCCAGACCATCTATCGAATCACTAAGATATAATGGGTATTCAGGGGTAATCTTCACCATTCCAGACCCAGTTGACCCTGACTGATTTTGAAGGCATCCGACTACTGACTTCTTAATCAGAAGACATCCAAATCCAGTTGGATCAAACCCAAAAACCTTGTAGAACGATGTGATAATAAAATCAGGCCGGAAAAGGGACAGTCCAAGTGAATCCATGTCCTTTGGACCCAACGACCCTGCATCAAGCAAGACATGCCAATTGTTCTGCTGAGCCAGTGCCATCCACTGGTAAGAATACTTGGCCCCAGTAACCCTAGACTGTACCGGAAACACAAAAAGCCCGGCCGCAGAATCCTTCTTCCTCCTCTTCTTAATCGAAATCTCCTTTCTCAAATCAGTGGTGCAGAGTTTCAATGTTGGCCACTTAAACCAAGCACTGTGAACCTTTGCACCTTTCTCTCTAGCACTCTGAGCCATCCAATTCACAGACTGGCTCTCATAATCGAACATTGTCAACAATTTCTTGTTCGTATGAAAAGGGTACGATTCGGCCAACAATTTAAATGCAGAACCTCTACTCACAGTAAAAACAAGACCATATTCACTCTCAGGAATGTTTAAATAATCCATAATCCTAGTTTTTATATCATGTTCCACAGTGCCTTTCTCAGCACCGCCATAAAGTGCATGATTATTCAAATTTGCAGTTATCTCAGACAAGCTAAATGTTGAAGAATCCCAATAGTGCAGTGTCTGAAGGTACGAAAAAAGCCCGAAACCGCAGTAATCAAGGCATACCTTTGGAGACAAATGTGCATACTCCTCTACCCTCAGCTGATCGATCTTCTCCGAAGACTGGTAATTCGAGTACATGGTAAGGAACTTCGTGAATGCTTCATGGAGGTCAGGGATGGCGTCTTCAGACTCAAAAATCCGGTCAGCAGCAAGGGCAGTGGCACAGAGAAACTCCCGCTGAGCATGGAGCCTGGCGAGCGATCTGGACCGTCCAATCCCCTCGTCCTGGTTGGCAATGGCCTCAGACTCCATGTCCTGAGATTTGAAGAGAAACCCATCTTCCGAAGCTTCCTCCAGAGCCTCTCTGAGCTTGTTTTCTTGAATCTTCCGGAGAATTGACGGGTTTCTCTTGGCGTCGGAGTCCGAATCCGACCCGCTTTTCTTCCCGCTGGTGCTGCTCTTCCTGTCCAGGAACAGAGCAGCGCAGTAGGATAGGGGCTTCCATAGTGAAAAATGCATGAAACCCTAATTCCTCTTATGAGAATTGAGATTTGGGGGAGATTAAGAAAACCCAAATCTTTATTTTTTGAGATTTGGGTTGAATTTTCAGAAAGGTGGTATCTTTACAGAGATCGGAAAACCCCCATTTGAAAGGAAGCGGTGGCCGAGTGAAGCAACTCCTTCCAGCTCAAAAAACCCCACCAAACGTCAACTGCCAGTGCAGCAGCACATTTAATGGGAAAGCAAGCCCACCACCACCTCTACCCCAAATGCTCTCATTCACTCAGATTCTTGGTAAAACCAAATCATATTCGTGTGTTGATTATTTGGCAACCCCCAATGCCAACTCTCTCTCTCTCTACAATCTTCTTCCCACACTAATCCCTGGTTAACAAACAGAGAGAAAAGGACATTGACTTTCACAAATCCTATGCCAACTGGTGTGTTGTAACTTGTTTATGCATTTTGCTTTCCAATTTTTAATCAATCAATCTGTCCCTGATAATTAACAGTCAGGTTTTAGTTTTGGAATTGTTGGCGGTGGGACCCTTTGGAGCCACTTTCCCCTTGTGGTCAATGGTGCAAAGTCAAATGATCAGTTGGCTAAAGCTGACTTCTGTCCAACTAGGCAGCTTGAATGGATTTTACACAGCTCCTCAACCCTATTTTATTCCAATCTTAAATTACTTTTTGCCAACAACATATTCTTGCAATATGATGAGATTATTTTGGATTCGGTTACTTTTTTCAGAGATTGGCTTTAAAAATGGATGATTCAGATTATTTTGCAACATTATATGATTAAAAAAAAATGTTTATTGGTTTGCCTCTCGAATTTGTATAGAACTATCAATTTCTTCTATAAATTTTAACTTTAGCCAATTATTCCCCTAAATTTTTGTAATTAGTCAATTTTTCTCCTGAACTTTAACTTTAGCTAATTACCCTCCCTAAAATTTTATAAATAGCTAATTTCCCCCCTAGTGTTATATTTTAAAAAATTTCTTCCAATTTTTCATTATTCTCATGTGTTGTTCACGCGATCAAAATGGATGAAAATTTTAAAATCTATAATCAATGGGGGAATTGGCTATTTATAAAGTTCAGAGGTAATTAAAGGTCGAGGGCGAAATTGACTAATTAGAAAAATTCATGAGGTAATTAGCTAAAATTAAAGTTTAGGTGGAAAATTGACATCTCCATACAAGTTCGGGGGCAAAACGACAAACATGTCATAAAAAAAAGGAAAAAATAGAATAAGATCTTAATGAGAAGGTTGCAAGCATTGCCCTAACTGTTATGTTAATGCCCAAATTTGGGAGATTAATTAATAAAGGCCACTCCGGTCGAACCTTGGTGGGCTAAGGGTAAAGACAATAAAAACTTTGACAACAGGATTTAAGTGATTCACCCTTAAAAGCTAGACTACATGTACTGAGGAACTCAAATAACGAAGTGACCCCATCCTCATGGTTGTATGTATTCTATTTAAACAAATGAATATTGTATCTTCTCTAGAAAAAATTAAAAAAAAATTAAAAAAAAAACCACTTACTAATCTCCCAAGTCAAAAGAAAACTT